CCCCACCCCCCCGGCCCGGCCCGGGCGCCGACTCCGCTCCGTCAGGCCCAGCGGCCACACGGAGGTTTGCCCGGAACCGCTGGCTCGTGCCTGCGCTCAGGCGCTCCCGGCCAGGCAGCACCGAAGCCGAAGCCGGAGACCAGCGCTCCTCTCGGCCTGCGCCGCCTCCGCCTCCGGGCGCCCCGCGCAGGGGCCGCGGGACGTCTGGCTGCCAGGGAACACGTGCGACCGAGTAGGGCCACCTCTTAGCTGGGAACCTGGTGACACTTGTGAGCCGAGCTTGGGTAACAGCTCCAAAGCTGCCCCAATAGTGGGGCGCCCAGGCCCGGGGTTTTGGGTGGGAATGGTGGTGTCAGGGACAGGGGAATGCATCGAATTTCCCGTGGACTTTTAGAGGTGACGTCGAAAAGCCAAGAGGGGAGGTGGGGCGTTTTGGAAATTCCGCTTTATGCCGCCACCCAAGTACCACAGTCAGCATGCCCTTGGGTGCCCAGTGCGTGCCAGCCGCTGTGCCAATGTCCTTATGTGCAGCTGATCTACCCTATGGTGGGAGTTCCTGCCATTATCCCCACCTCACCGATGTGGACGCTAAGCTCCGGGGACAAATAACTTGCACACACTGAGCCGCACAGCCAGGGTTGGGGCCCACACCTCTCCTGAAGTTGCTCTCCTGCCCGTTTTGTGGCTGGCACTTCCAAGTGGTGCAGAAAAAGGAGCAGCTGGCCGGCCTGCCTCCCTCCCTCCTCATCGTCCCCTCCTCACTCTGGTGACTTCTCTGCCCAAGAGGAGGGTGTCCAGGACTGTCTCCCCACCCATACAGAACGGCTGGACCGTGACCGGAAATGAGCAGAGGGCCTTCATTGTGAAAGAGCCGGGAGGGCTGACCAAGCACACCTGGGTACAGCTGGGTCTCCTTAGTCACCAGAGTTGGTTTTCTAAAGACAATGAATTTGTGAACACAGAGCCACTGCTCCTAGGGGGAATGTAGCATTAGGTTCCTGCCAGCCTCTGGTCACATTTTTGTCAACCAACCAATAACATCACCTTATTTTATGTGCGTTTCTCTATCAAAACGTTTTATTTAACCTCTGTGGTTGGTTCATTCACATTGAACTCACGGCCACCAGCAATACACCTCACACCTGAAGGCAGCTCATCTACCACAGGTGTCTTACCTAACGCAAGGGTTTTCTCCACGGGGCACATGGGAGCCGCCTTCTGCTCAGGACCACCAGACAGCACTGTTCTCGGGGGCCCGTTTTAAACAGCGAGAGCACCAACACGAAAGACAAAAATGTGCAAAGTGGCACCACACAGACCTTGTTCCGCCTTAACAGGGAACACGCAATATTATCAGGCAACTCAAAATCCTCACCCCTCCTCAAATGACCATGAAAGGGCTGCATGTATTGATTTGGGGGATTGCAAGTACATTTTAGCAAGCAAGTGAATTCCCAAATATGGACTCTGCAATTAATGAGGACCAACTGTATGTGCTTCTCATGTCAGGGTATCAGGCGAGGATTAAGGATAACATTTAGAAACGCCTACAAGGCACTGTCCCACGCACTTGTATTAAATTAACTCAGTCATCACACCGGCCAACGGGGTCGGTGCAACTTTCACTGTTTTACATATGAGGCGATTGGTGTAGAGAGGTTTAACACCCACCTTCTTAGCTTCTAGACTATACCACGTCATTCCTGTTCTAAAACCAGTCCTGGCATCTCATGGAGTCTGTTGTGTAAAATCACATGAATATTCAGGATGAAATGGAGAATTCCAAGAGATATTATGCTTCGCAGGGGCAGCTGCGTTGAGCTGGGTTCTCAGCGTCTACGACTGAGGAAGGTGCTTCAGAGAAGGGCTCTGGAGTGTGTGTGTGGGGGGTAAGTTGGGAACATTTGAGCTGCTCTGCTGTAAGGTATAAAGGGCTCAGCAGGACTTCCTGTCTCTTTTTCCCTTGGGCACTTGTGATCCTTGAGCCAGCCTCCCTCCCAGGAGTGCCCCACATTACATACGGAGGCCATGGCGGAGCCTGTCTCCCCCACAGGTTCCATCTAGCATCGGGCCAGTCCCCTCAAGAAACAGTTGGCCAGGAGTGACAGCAGAAGGGAAGACGTCACCAATACCATGATGGAAGTGCCGCCTTCCTGTTCAACCAACAGGTCAGGCAGTCCTACGTGTGTGTGTGTGTGTGTGTGGTGGCTAAGGCACCTTGAGTCAGGGTGACAGAGAGCCATGGAGGGCAGACCTCATGAGTCTGGTCCCCAGATTCCTCACCTAACCACCCTATTAGAAAGAACTCCCGGGCCGGCCAAGTGGCTCAGTTGGTTAAGAGCTCGCTCAAGAGTGTGAGCTCTGAGCAACAGCGGTTCGAGTCCCGGCCCGAGCTGAGCAGCCGCTGAGCTACCAACAGGTGGCAGGATGGCTCAGCTAAAAAAGAAAAAAAAGAACTCCCTTTCACCACTCTGCCCAAGTGTAGACACAGATCCTTCCCTTTGTCACCCCCTCCTGAGGCCTGGCCAAGATGTTTAAAAAGACATTGCAAAGGAATAATCTGTATGATCAGGCCACTGGGTGCAGACCCCTACCCCATCTACCACCCCCTGAGAACCCCCACCACCTGGGGACCAGGACAGTGCCTTTCAACTCTGAAGGCTAAGAAACCAAATTCCATTTTCTTCCTGAGACCCATCCTCTTGAATTCCTGGTTTCCATGACCTGTCTCAGCATCTGCCGCGTTCCTGCATGAGTTTCAGAGGTTCCTATCGACCCCAACCGGATAAGCACAGCAACCTTTGTATGCGGTGCAGAGAGGCCCAGGGAAGACACGGCTGCTGATGCTGGAGTTGGCGTCTGCATGTATTTTACCCTAAGAGACAGCGGATGCCACCCCAGCACATCAGCCTGAGCTTGTTCTTGACCCTGATTTGCCCTTTCTGGGTGCAGACTCAGGAGGAGGACTCTGGAGGCACATCCTGGACGATGTTGCTGGCTTAGAGAAAAGGGGCACGTGGTGGCAAATCCTATAAAAGTTATCATTGACGGCACTGCCTACAGAGGATGTGTTCTCAGCCAAGGCCCCCAGGAGACAATAGGCTGGGTATGTTAGGGAGAATGTGAGGTGAGCGTGGTGTCGCGGGGTGTGGGACTGCCTGGCGAGTGGCGAGTGCAGGGAAGGACAGAGAAGGGGCAAGTGCAGAGCGAGCCTGTGCCCTAGCAGGTAGGGCTAGCCCTGTCCCGGTCCTCAGAGAGACGAGGCGACAGAATAGTTCTGTACTGTGGCACCCACTAGCAGTCATTGCCTCTCCGCTGGAGTTGGGGGCTGGTGTAACCTCCTCGTGGCTCCCATAAGCCAAAGACAATGCCCTTAGCCATCGATAAACAAGGTCAGGACAGGGCGCCCATATCAACAGCATCGCCTGCACACGGCTTCTCGGGTATCCCTAGCCCCACACGGGCAACAGTGGGGCTCAGCTATTGGTGATGGCTTTCTGCCTGTGCAGAGTGGGGTCTTGCTCTGGAACATAAATTTGCTTTATAAAGCGTGTTCAAAGTCTTCCTCTGGCTGCTCTCCTGTCTCTTAAGCAACAGTAGCCCTTGGGAGGAGGTGTGCCGGGAGGTGGCCCTACATGGTGAGGGACTCTGTGCTTTGGCACACATCCTCTCATTCTTGGATTCTGCTGTCATCATGCACCGAGACCCCAAGGAGCACCTCAGGGTGCCAATCCACGACTTCCAAGTCAGGAGCTTGGAATTAGGGCTGCAGCGGCACTGGAGGTCTGAGCCAATCAAAATCTCTATAGGAGGGTGAGAGTGGTGTTGTTCAGACTCTTTCTAGAAACTTCCAAATTGTTGGGGGTAGGGCAGGACAGGGGCTAGACTCCCCTGAAGTGCTGGGAAAGAACAGAATAGGGATTTGATGACCCATCCCAGGAGCAGCAAACTCTCCCGGCCCCAAACCCAAGGCCAGGAAGGTGTTGAGCTGACTCGGTTTTGTGTGCATCTCACCCTGAGAAGTGTGCACGCATACACATACACATGTCCACACAGACTCCATTGTCGGGCATGGACAAAACCCGTACCCTGCGAAGAATGGATTTGCTAGCACCTTTCACCTCACCTCGCTCTGCCCTTGAGAAGACCCTTCTTCCCCTCAGAGGCTAGTCAGGAAATCCACCACCGGCCTAGGCTTGGCCATGCATTGGAAGAATTCTAGGCAAGTGACTTCACTTCTCTGAGCATCAACTTTCTCCATTACATTGTGAAAAGTATGAAACTTAGAAAGCTCCAGTAGGGCCTACCAGTGTAGCTTCTGAGAGTGTTTTTATATTTTACTTGTATAATATAGAACACAACTCTAGCCATCTCTCCCTCGTCTCACCACACCCAGAACAGAAAAGGCCTCTGAGCATCCAACCAACGTGAGATCTAAACCTACGGCAGAGAAGCAAACCCTTAGGTCTCACTC